TTTTTTTTTTTTTTGTGAAAGCTTAAACTGCTTCATTTTGATTACTTTTACAATGTCTTTATGAACTTTTTATTGTGTGCAAGTTTAAAACACCCTCATGTATTTTAATGTTTCATGAAATTTTTTCTTTTTTCATGCAATGAGCCATGCATATTCCAGGTCTTCTGAAGCCATGTGATGTCTTCCTGTAGTGTAACAGCATTTATCGGCATGGTGTGTGTGTTTGCAGGAGAGCGTTTAGTGATGGTTGAGGCTCAGTGTGAGCGGGTTCGGATGCTGTATCGAGACTGCGCTCGTCCTCCACCTCCTCCAGTGCAAACCGATCAACGACAGGTGAGATGAGCATCGTTAATGCGACCGAGAGGAGCCGCTTGCTGTTGTGTGATATTATCATGTCTGCTATCCTTCTCTCAGCTTCCTGCTTGCCTTATATGGGCTGCTCTGTACACACACAAAACGACTGGCAGACATAAAGCCTTTTGAACACATAATCAGTCTTCCTCTCTCCGCAGCCTAAGGAAATCACGTGGTGCCCGTCACGCGTCTTCCCTCCGGTGCGCGCCTGCATGTTCTCCTCACACTTGACCTCTGTGACCTTTCTGGCCGATCCGAGCGCAGGCGGAGGCCTTCCCAGAGGAACGTTCATCTACGCCACTTCACCTGTGCCTGTCCAGGTAACCACAGCCTGTTTGTGGCGCATAGTTTTTATATTTTCTAGTTTTCTTTCCATTTTTGTGAATGTTTTAGTAATTTTGTTGTGTTTTTGACATTTTTATTATTGTTTTTAAAAAGTTTTAGTTTTTTGTTTATTTGGTTTCAGTTATTTTAGTACTTCAGCTTAAAGGGGTCATCGGATGCCCATTTTCCACAAGTTGATATGATTCTTTAGGGTCTTAATGAAAAGTCTGTAACATAGTTTAGTTAAAATTTCTCAAAGGTAGTGTAAAAAACACCTTTTTACCCTGTCAAAAACAGCTCTGTTTACAGCAAGCCATTTTAGTGCATGTCGCTTTAAATGCAAATGAGCTCTGCTGACCCCGCCCCTCTCTTCCGAGCCGCTTTCTGAGAGATGAAACTTCAGCCGCGTTCATCTTGAAAATTGCTAACTAGCACGTTATTAGGAAAGGCGATTTGCAAAGATTCATTAAAAAACCTGACACTCACTTCTTCTGTAGGTGAAGCTGGATCACGAATGATTCGCGCAAACATAGACGCATTTATGTAGATCAGGGTGCATTCCCTTCAGAAACAAATGTAATCCTCTGCGTCTTCAGCGGCTCAGATGTCGGGAGTAAATGACGACTGCTATGTTCATTATTGCATCCAACAACAGAACACCTCAATCGCTTAGAGGAGTCATTCTGTGGGGGTTTGGATTTATCGAGATTTAAAAAAAAGCACTGGGTGGATCTTTATCATTATAGGGTGGTTGTGTACACACATTTAATTAATTTAAATTCAAACAACATGTAAAAGTGAATTTTGCATCCATTGACCCCTTTAAACTAAATGAAAATAAGACAACTGAAAATGGCAACTAGATGAAATAAGTTTTTATTTTTTTTCATATTTATTTTATTTTCATATTTATTTAGTTTTCTTGTAAATCAGCAATACATTGATCAAAAGTGACATTACAGATATTTATAATGGTACCAAAGATTTCTGTTTCAAATAAATGCTGTTCTTTTGACCTTTCTATTCATGAAATAATCCTGAAAAATAAAATGTATCACAGTTCCCACAAAAGTATGAAGCAGCACGACTGTTTTCAACATTGATAATAATCAGAAATGTTTCTTGAGCAGTAAATCAGCATATTATACTGATTTCTGAAGATCATGTGACACTGAAGACTGGAGTAATGATGCTGAAAATACAGCT